CCCAGCAAAATTGTCCCTCAAATATGATGGTGAAATTAAGACATTTCCAGATAAGCAGAAATTAAGGGAATTTGTTAAAACCAGATCAACCTTACCAGAGATGCTAAAGGGAGCCCCTTGGACAGAGAAGCAACAACAGCCCACAGCAACTGACCATTAACACACATGATGATATATCAGAAACCAACCCAGCTATGGAAGTATCCAAAGTAAAGAAGCCTACAAGATTGTAAACAGGGAACAGGAGACATCAATTGACAAATGAGGACAACTGTAAACCAAAAAGAGGGAAAAAAAGTATGTTGTTACAGAACTTGTAGATGGTAGGGAAGTCAAGACAACTACAAGATGGAACAGACTGTTCTAAACTTGGGAAGAAAACTAAATCACAGTGTAACCTCAAAGAAAAATTATAAACCTTCACATCAAAAAAGAGGACCCACATAAATACTCAGCAAATATAAAATAATAGCAATGAAGGAAGTGATAACACTATTCACAAACAAAATGAGCTCAGCATAGAAAATTATATGGAACAAAGAAATCGACACCACAAAAAAGCACATAACAAAAGTGACAGCAACAAATTCATATTTGCCAGTAATTACATATCTGGCAGTAATTACGTATCTCTAAGATTTATAGCAGAAGAGTGGATGACCAAACTATGGTACATACACATAATGTACTGCTATACAGCACTAAAGAATAACATAGAGTCTGCAAAACACCACATAATATGGATGAACTTGGAGGACATTATGCTGAGTGAAATAAGTCAATCACAGAAGGACAAATATAGTATTAGTTCATTGTTGTGGAGGGTCAAGGAAAGGTCTGTATATGGAGGGAAACTTTCTTTGTTGGTTGCCAGGGGTGGAAGGGTAGGGGAGGGAACACTGCAAAAAGAAAAAAAAAAATGTATTGACCCATGTCATTTTAGTTTTGTGTATTTCACTGTACATAAATAATATTTCAATAAAATGGATTAAATAAAAACTGTTAATAAGATTCATCCATGTAGTGCACTGATTTGTTTATTTTTATGCTAAATACTAATTATGCCAGTATATGAATATGTGGTGTCTTAGTTATCCTTTACTATAGATGAATATTTGGAATTGTTTGGCATTTTGGACTATTATATGCAATGGTGCTGTGAACATATGTGTAATGTCATGAGCACATATATGCTTTCCTCTAGGGTGTACATCTGCGAGTGGAACTGCTTGGGGATGTGTGTCGTACCAAACTGTTTTCCACGGGATGGTGCCATTTTACGCTCTGACCAGTGTGGATGAGGACCCTGCTGCTTCACATCCTCATACCCACTTGGTTTTGTCAGATGTGTAATGGCATCTCACTGTCATTTTAGTCTGTAATTCCTTGATTACTAATGAGGATGAATGGGATAGACATTTAGTGACAATTTGGGTAATCCTACTTCCGTAGTGATACTGCCTCGGAAACCCAAGGAGGGGTCGCTATGAGTCGGGGCCGACTCGACGGCACATAACAACAACAA